TGGACAAAATATACAAGCAGCCAGCGCTGGGAAGAAGCCTGGGGGAAAGGGAACGGTACGACGGAGAGAGCGAAGGGAGAGCGAGGTGAGAGGGAGGGAAGGAGAGAGTTCGGGGGGCTCTGGAGGCAACACCTCACCAAGAGGCCGCCGTGAGGACGCGGGAGGGGGGGGGCGGAATTGGGGGTGGGTGAGGGGTGTGGGTGTGAGGTCACTCTCTGACCCCGAAGCATTTCATCCCCCCGCCATCAGCTGCCATCCTCTCACCTTGAGTTCGTCTTTGCGTTAGGGAAATATTTCACATTTTATTTTTTGTTTGAGGTGAGGTGTAATTTTTTTGTATTTTTTTTGTGGTGGAATAAAAAAATTACCGCGCGAGTCAAATGGATTTCGCAGAAAATAAAGGGCCGCTAAACGTTCCGCTTTAATATTACACTGTAATGTGACGAACTTTAAACCGTACGTTCAGTGGTGGTGCTCGGCATAAGAAAATCAAGCAAGCGCAGCTGCCCGGACTGATGAGACTAATCCAGCACAGTTTAACACGTTCGGAGGGCTTTAAAACGTCCAATAGTATCCATAATAATAGAGCGGTTTGTTTTTGGGTTATATCGCGTCAAAATGAATGTGTCGTTAAACCCGCCGCCACCCGACACAGAAAATTCGTGAGGTTTGTCACGCAGATAGGATAAAAAAAAATAACAACAAAAACCTACGACGTTTCGATGGCAACAAAAGCGATCGTTTTCCCCTCCTGATGACGGCCTCTTGCGTTGCGATCGAAACGTCGTCGTTTTTTGTTGTTTTCTTTGAACCGATCTACGCGACTTTACCGAGAGACCCAAAGAATGTGAATCCCCGCAGTCACGAACGCTTCAAGTTAACGTTTGTCACGTAAACAAAACATGCTAAATCGTTACTGGTACAGCACACCGGTGTGTGTTGAAGAGTAAACCCAGCACTCGAATTGGAAATGTTAATGTAGTGGGTTCACTCTCCAACACACAACCGGTGTGCTTCACTGGTAACGAATTGACAGGTTTTGTTTACGCGACAACCCTTACTAGTTTGGCTGTGTCGGCTGGCGGCGGGTTTAACGACACATTTTATATATTTACGCGATCTGACCTCAAAGAACCCCCCCTCCCGCTCAATTATGGATAATGCAGTGCAGTGGATGTGCGTCAAATGTCATCGTCAGCTCGAATTCAAAACCCAACAGACGTGGCCAGTGAATTAAACATAGCCACGTGATATCTCTCTCTCTATTGACTCCATCTGCTCCACATCTCTCTCTCTTCGCACGTCTCTCTACAGCTGCGTCTTCCCCTCTTACGTTTCTCTCCTCTAACAACATCTCGAGTTGCGCACATGATTTCAGGAAGTTGAATGAGTGTGTGTTTGGTGGTGGGGGGGGGGGCGAGAAACGTGGTATTATGTTTCACCTCGAGGCCCCCAAATCAAGTTTCAAGGTTTGATTTATTAGGTACAGCCCTGTGAGCCATGCGGCTCTTAAGTCGAGTGCAACCGCAACAAACTAAATTTGAACACAGAGAACATCTTAAAGCGGCGACGGGCAACAGAAACATCCTGGAATAATACTCTTTGTTTTTTTTTCGGTAAAGTCGCGTAGGTACAATACATTTTAAAATAAAACAAGACAACTAAATTAAATCACGACGTTTCGGAGGCAACACAAGCTTCCGTCTTCAGGTGGAACAGTTACAGCAAGATAGCTGCATCAAACGTCGTGATTTAATTTAGTTGTTTTCTTTTATATTACATTTTATTTTACCTACGTGACTTTACGGAAAAAAACCCCAGAGAGTATGAATCCTTGCAGTCACGAAAGCTTCAAATCCTGGAATAAACCAGCAAATATTCCACGCAAAAAAAAACTTATTAAAACGCTGTGTGCAAAAAAAGTCACCATGTGGTGCAAGCCAACAACAACATGTACAACAACCATAAGACAATTTAGATTAACCATGTTTTCGAATGGACCGCTCCTCAACACCGCACTGGCTGGGCTGGCCGTGCGTTGTTTTACGATGACGTACAGTGAGGAAAAGTGTGCCCGAGCCATGGACCGTATAGTGACATCGAGCTCGCTAAACTGGTGCTACAACTCTGTCAAGTGTCAAATTCGCCGTAATGCATTGCACGTGATGTTTTTGAGGCTGTTATTTTGTGTATATTTTTTTGGTTACATTTTGCGGGTCTATATATATTGCTCTGTTGCGGTGTTCTTCATTGGAGCCCCCCCCGCCCCGTGACGTGCGGCCACCGACAATACACAGATGGGGAAACGCTCGCCATCATCATAATCATCAGCATTGTCCTGCTGTTAAACCCCAATGGTTTCAAATGTGTGGCGACCCTCACACGCCGACGTCTAATCGGCGAAAGTGAAGAACGCCGCTCTATTTGCATTTTGAGTAAAATTCAATTTGGCTTTACAAGTAGTTTATATGTATCGTGATCATGCGAATGCACCTGATGTAAAATGTATGTGCGTATATCGCAGCGTGTTTAACGAACGCCGGCAGTGGAACGATGTGTAACGTCTTCTCAAAACTGTGTATGTACATTGAACTTCTTTCGCACCGTACGTAGCCAGCGGTGCTAATCGCAGGTGCGGGGGAAGGACAGGGAAACGAAACACAAAGAGGCATATGGGGCCGTCCATAAATGACGTCACGCGATTTTTGACGATTTTTGACCCCCCCCCCCTCCACTCGTCACACGGCGTCACAAAAAGGCAGACCCCCCCTCAAATATGACGTCACAAAGCTCTGCCCCCCCCCAAAAAAAATATATAAAACATGCTTCAAATCTCTTTAAACTATTGTCATTGTAGTGCGTATTTAATGTGGCGCTGTACTCTGATGTTGTCGGAGAAAACATTTATTAAAAAGTCTATTTAATTAAGTAGAACGTGTTGTCTATATTTATTTAAAGTTGCGTATTTTGATGTGACGTCACATTTCTCACCCCCCCCCTCGTCACACATCGTCACAAATGTCTGACCCCCACCCCCTAGGTGCGTGACGTCATTTATGGACGGCCCCACGGACAGGAAACGAAACACAAAAAGACATATGTGCGTAAAAGGGCAAAGATCCCCCGTGTAGCCTTAACAGACTGTAGGGGCAAGTGCTGTTAGCGAGCACCGACGAAGGCCGGCAACGTCACACGAGGGGGTGGGTGGCCAGCAACCACGCCCGGCCGCCTTTGTCTCCCCAGTGGCACATGTGTCCACACGTGTGTCCACACGTGTGGACACATGTGTGGGCACACATATATCCAGTACAGTAATACGATTCACTTCATTTAAACCAGATGAATCTGTTTCTTTTGCAAATGGTTTCTGTGATGAGTTGCAAGTGGGATTATTTAAACGATGCAAACATTTAAAGATAGACTTCAAATGTTCACATTTTTTTACAGTCCCTTTCGTTCATCCACTGCTGAAGGTACCTGGCCATCGTCAACAATTCACGTACTGTGTTGTTTATTTAACGCATGAGCAGATAACATAACACAACATGAACAACAGACGCGTACAAACAATACTCGTGACATTGTTATCATTTAAAGCTTTCGTGACTGCAGGGATTCATATTCTTGGTTCTTTCGGTAGTCACCACGTAGAAGGGAAACAATAAAATAAAAAAATATATAAAACAATAACATTCTCACGACGTTTCGACTGCAACACAAGCAATCATCATCAGGTGTGAAAAAAGAACACAAGAAAATTTGAAAAAAAGTGGCGGTTTTAACGTGTTGCAGTCGAAACGTCGTGAGAATTTAATTGTTTTATATTTTTATTATTTTATTGTCTCCCTTCTACGTGACTTTACCGAAAGAACCAAGAATATTATCATTGCTACGAGTCCACGTGCTCTTTGCAGCACGTGACGCCTCTCCCCGTTGTTTGTGAGCTCACCTCAGCCAGGGCTATTATGTCATCGCGCCACGTGACCAAACAACAACGGTCACGTGACAAGCCGACACAACAGGCGTCACGTGCGGCGCGAGCGCCGGGTGACGTCACCCGTTGCCGGGCAGAGCATCTCCACCCCCCCCCCGGGCTCCTCCCCCCCCCAACCAACCCGCCCCTCATCCCCCTCGCCCCGCCCACACGCGGATTCGACAACAACAACGCGTTACGTAACAGGAGCTAACGACGGTGCGCGCTTCCCATTGGCTAGAAGGAAAACAATTTAGCAAATTAGTTATTGGCGATTAATTGCCGCGTTGGCAGTATAAATAACACAGACACCAACGATAATCCAATACATTCGTCAATGAACACTTATTGCCTTAAAGAGACAAATTAAAAAAAGCACCTAATCACATATAAAATAATAACTTTGTTTGTATGCACACACATTCAACACGTTAACAATACAGCGGGGCCTTTAAAGAAAGCAGTCTTGAAGCCTTGTCGTTGTTGTTGTCTATCGGCTAAGAGGCGAGGAGTCGGGGCGGGGCTTACATTTGGGAAGGGGCGTGGCTTTCTGAGGGAGGAGCTCCAGTCGCAAATGGGCGGAGCCTAAAATCGATGGGGGGAGTGGCTATTTGCGAGGGGGCCCCGAGGCTTCCTGAGAGTGAGGTGGGGGGGGTTCGATGGGGTCTCAAGTCGAGAATGGGGCCGGGAGTGGGGGGGGGCTCATCTCAGAGGGCGTGGCTATTCTGGGATAGGGGGCGTGACTAATTGTGGGATAGGGGGCGTGTTTTTTTTGGAATAGGGGCGTAGCTATTGTGGGATAGGGGGCGTGGTCATAATTGGGTAGGAGGCGTGGCTATTTGAGGGCAGCAGTAAGCGGGGCGCGGGAGGAGGAGCTTAAGTGGGGTGGGCGTGTATATTACGTGTGGAGGCGGGGCATGTAGGCGGGGCGAGGGGTGGGGGGGGCGGAACAAGAGGTGGGGGGGCGAGGCAAGAGGTGGGGGGGCGAGGCAAGAGGTGGGGGGGCGAGGCAAGAGGTGGGGGGGCGGGGCTTGCTCCTCCGAGGTAAATAACAAAGCGCGCGCGAAGAGGCCCAGATCAGCTGATCGCGCCGCCTCCGTTTCTTAGATTCCCCATCGTTCCCGTAGGCTTCTGTAACAACAGGTCGTAGGACACTTGGGGCTAACTCGGCTGCATCATCATCGTCATCGTATTAGCCGCTGTTGTTTTTACACGCCGTTTCATGTCGCTGCTGCTAGCACTCGCAGTGATAACGACAGCGATTAGCAACACGAGGTCGAGTTTATTATAGTCGCGGTTTGTCGGGTCGGTTGGGGGTTCGAGAACGCAACAACAGAGGCGGGCGAGCACATTTTGTTGTTGTAAACAATTCGCGGAGTGAGCGAGCCCAAGGCCTTTGACGCGATGGTCTCTCCCGTGACCGTGGTGAGTCCACCCACCCACACCCCCAAGTCCCCCATGCAGCGCGGCCACCCTTTCGGCGTTCGCGAATGTCTTTGAATCGCTTTCAAGTTCCAAATAAGATCGCGTGTTCGTTCGAGGCCGCCTTTGTTGGCGTGTGTGGGGAGGGAGGTGGGGGGGGGCGGTGGTGCAGCGGTTAGCGCGCTACGAACCCGGCGAGCCGAGTTCGATCACCCCGCGCCGGTCTCGGGACCTCCTCTAGGTCGACTCGGCCTCAAATGAGTACCTGGTGTAGCGGTGTATAAACATCGCCACGAGGGAAACAAAGGCGGCCGGGCGTGGTTGCTGGTCACCCACCCCCTTTTTATGTGCCGCGCCGGCCTTCATAGGTGCTGCTCGCTAACAGCACTTGCCCCTACAGTCTGTTAAGGCTATACGGGGGATCTTTATCTTTGTGCTGCACGTATGTTAATTCTACTGTATCTATATATGTTACAGTACGTGTTGCTGTGTTGTACTGTACTTTGAAAGTTCCAAATACCGTGATCCATGACCGCTTCTGGATGGCTATCTCGAGGAATCGCTGACCGGTTCGTTTCGAGTCGCACAACTCGCCCAGTCCATTGTTCGGCTGGGGTTGTGTAAGACACCTGTGGGGGGGGGGGTTGTTTCCATGCCGAGACGCGCACGTGTGGAGGAGACGCGCACCACGTGTGACGGAGACGCGCACCACGTGTGACGGAGACGCGCACCACGTGTGACGGAGACGCACACCACGTGTGGAGGAGACGCGCACGTGTGACGGCGACGCGCACCACGTGTGAAGGAGACGCGCACCACGTGTGATGGAGACGCACACCACGTGTGGAGGAGACGCGCACGTGTGACGGCGACGCACACCACGTGTGAAGGAGACGCACACCACGTGTGACGGAGACGCGCACCACGTATGAAGGAGACGCGCACCACGTGTGAAGGAGACATTGCTTATTATTTATGTCGCGATCAACCCCCCGGTATTCTTGTTCAGGGTAATTTGAGTTTTCAGGTCCTTACGGCGTGCAGACAGTGGCGGGGCCAGGGTTTTCAGGTAGCGGGGGGGGGCAACCCCTCCAGCAATGAGAAATGATAGAGGAGTTGTTATTAAGTGAGGAGTTAATAATAAGTGAGGAGTTGCTAGTAAGTAAGGAGTTGTTAGTAAGTAAGGAGTTGTTAGTAAGTAAGGAGTTGTTAGTAAGTAAGGAGCTGTTAATAAGTGAGGACTTGTCCCTTGCTTTTAAAAATTCGAGGCGTGTGCGGCGATGGCGCAGACATCGATCGAGGGGTGGAATTCGAACCGCGTTGTGTGATCGGCATCGCGCTCGCTGTAGGTGTTGATGCCTTAAGGGAAGTCGTGGACTCTGTATACGCAACTGCGCACAATTATATGAGTCACTTGTAACCGCTTTTTCCGTTACTTATTGCCAATTATGAACTCACACTATTGTCCTATCAACTCATAGAGTCCCTGGCACGTAATAATAATATGCTACACAGTGGCAGTGGAGGTCACAAAATTCCGATTTATTACCAATAAACCCCAATGATCCGATAGAAATTAGGGATTTCGATCGGATCATTGGGGGTGTGGAGGCACGTGCCACCCCCCCCGCCCCACCTCCCACTGACTGCCAGTGCGCACAGCCGTTTCAATACGGGCACACATTTCGTTTTGAGTTTCTCCCTTGCGATGGGACTTTGTAGGATGAACGTTGAGATTTATAAGGGTGACCAATAAGATAATTAGTCTGTAATAAGGGATAAGTGGTTGACAGGTATGATGCCGTTCCCGTCCTACTGCCCTGGTATCGGACCTCTGGCTCCATCTCCCCGTTCCAAGTCCAGAACCTGAGGCTTTTCCCCTTCTCAGTTTCTATCCAAACTGCCCCAATTCACAATTCTCTCGCCGACAAACGCCCTCCTCTCCCAGACCCATTACCGTTCAAAGGCAAATGCGCAGCCCCTGCAATTGCCTCCTCGCACCGCTGCTGGCAGAGGTGCCCTCAACCACTCGAGAGAATTCCAGAGAGTCCCCCAAGACTCGAAGAGCAGTGGTTCTTAACTATTGCTGCAGCCTTGCGCTGCTGTGGTTCTCAGAAAAGGGCATCTCGCACCACCAGGGCGTGCGCGTGCACCCCAGGGTAAGAACCCACTGTTCTCGAGGTTAAGACAATCGGTGCACCCTCCTCCCACGCTTGACCCAGGCGTCGTGGAGGCATGCGGGAGTGAACCCACCACTTTACTCCCGTCGCACACGTGATGACCTGCTGAATCAACTGCAGTGCACGCCTTCCCCCCGGTGTGCACGTGGCGCTAGGAGATTTCGGAAAGTTTGCCCGCCGATTAAACAGCTGCCGTGCCACGAGGTGGGATCGAACCGGCGACCTTTAGACGGCAAGTCCAGTATGATGACCGTGACACTTGCGGGCAGCCGCCCCTTCCGCTGCTGTATTTTCTCCGGTATAATAATGCAGCTACAGAAATTACTGTGCCCCTTGAGGGAGTGGATCGGTGGTGCAGTGGGTTAGAACGCTGTGCTTTGAGCCTGGTGACCCCGAGTTCAAATCCCAGCCACGGCTAACGTCACTTGTGAATGATATTCGAACCAACCGGCCCTGGGAACTCCACTTCTTCTAATACGACCGCGCACTGCCCAACGTGGTGAAGTATGGTCAGGATCAGAATATGTATGCTGGAGGAATCCGATGAGCTATAAAGCTCTTTCACAGATGTGTACAGTCGCGGTCGGTAAGAACGTTACAGAAACAAAATATAATGAGTACCTTGTGCGATGCGTAAAAACTTCGCCACTAGGGAGACAAAGGCGGCCGGGCGTGGTGCTGGCCACCCACCCCCTCGTGTGCCGTGTCGGCCTTCATAGGTGCTCGCTAACAGCACTTGCCCCAACAGTCTGTGAAGGCTACACGGGGGATCTTTGTGTGCGCACATGTGGGCGAGAGCTCAACGTTGCATGCCAATGCGGTGTTTGTGTGGCGATGGCCCAGCAAAATTGCCCCAGTCTTTTGAGGACAGAGAGAAGTGTTTTGTCCTCAAAAGCCCTCCTCTTGGCTCACAGCCGCCCAGCGCTGCTATCTCCCGTAACGAGAGATGGGGGGGGACAGGATATGGCCCGCACCGCTTGCCCCGTGTGTACACGTCCACGACAAGGAAGTGTCTGAGAATCAGAATATGTATTTCTACCGGAGGAATCCGATGAGCTAAGAATTTTTTTTTTTCACGGATGTGTCCAGTCGGGGCACGGGGGTAAGAACGTTACACTAACAACAAGCAATAACAAAAAAAACACGGTACGAGTGCGAAGCATAGGAAAGGTTAAAAAAAATAATCGCTTAAATATATACGCACGAATAAAACCGAATGAATTGTTCTATCTTACCGGCGAAAGCCCGCCGTCGTACTAGCTTATTTTTCAGAAGCGACCTGGCCACAAATGATAGCCACGATGAGGGCCGGGAATTGAACTCGGGCCCCGCCGGGTTCGCGGCGCAGCACGCCGACCAGCTGCGTCGCCAATCCGCCGTCCTGCGCATTCGGCAGCGGCCACAGCAACGTGGAATGGTCACCGGGGGTTACCCGCTCGACGCGCTGCTCTCGGCCGGGGGGGGGGGTGAACGGAAGGCCGCCTTAATCTTGTTTTTACGAGAAACCACCGAAGCCTTTTGAATCCCAATTGTCTCTCTGTCTTTGGTGAAGCCAGGTGGCATTCCCCCATTTGTATTCGTGGCACGTCGTGGGGCTTTTCTTCCGCGTGATGCGGTCGCCTCCGTGGGACCGAGAACTCTCTCGCCGGTTGTCCTCTCGTGGCCAAACGTGTCGGTCACTCGCCCCCGTGCGGCCATCCCGTGATGAGCACGAGAAAGCAGAATCTTCGCCTGTTATTGTTATGCACGTGCGTTTAAAAAAAGAAAATATTTTTCAGGGTCAGGCAGCAGTGCGAAATATTGGCGAACGTTGCAGCCCAGCTGTGTGTTTTGTTGTTTGTGCGCCGTCGATGCAGTGTCACAACAACAGCTGTAACGTTTTCGGGACTCGCAGAGGTCATCGCAATCGCAGTGGTATTGACGTAATGCAATCCCCCTCTCGTGTGCGCGGGGCTTTGAGCGAGAACGCCTCTCTTAAATTTTGATTTAAAGCTTTCGTGACTGCAGGGATTCATATTCTTGGTTCTTTCGGTAAAGTCACGTAGGAAAAAATATATATAAACAAAATTGTTATAAATATTTTTTTATTTTATTGTTTCCCTTCTACGTGACTTTACTGAAAGAACTAAGTATATAACGTCTCTCTTGTGCCTCTCTCGCTTTCGAGGGCTGCTCTCTGTGTTTTCCACTTTCGCCCCACATGCCAAACGCTTTTAGCCTTTCATGGGGATTGGCCAAAAGCATCCCAATGAAAGATCTTTCGGAATTAAATTCCAGAGACTCTTCCCTGGATACTTCCAATATGTTTTATCATCATCGTCGTCGTCGCCGTCTCCTTTAGAAGTGAGATCTCCAGAGATTTTAAAATACAGGATTTACTAGCCTATCATTTTGCAAGCATGGCTCTGGACCGGTTTTGACTTGCAATGTCTCATCAGGATCGGAATATGTATTCATCCTGGAGGAATATGATGAAGCTGTAAAGCTCTTGTTTCCAAGATGTCCAGTAGGGGCCACGTCAATAAAAAAAAAACACAGCACGAACCTACAAATTGCACTTCACCATCAAATTGTAATAAGCCTTGGCAAGGCAGACCCAGGCTTTCTTGAACCAATGCAAGTGAACCGCCAGATATTTATAGACAAGGACCCAGTCGGGCCGCGCTAGCTTCGACTAGTTTTTGCCGTGCACTTCTGCCCCGAGTGATCCCTTTAATCTTTTTTCGACGTGTCCCACTATGGCGGGGTGTCGTGGCGAGACACCGCCAGTCCATCGCCGCCGCCGCCACCACCATGGTCCGGCACAGGCAATGAAGAGAAAATGAGAGCGCCTGCGTGATCACGCGGCAGGACGAAACTAACCGGACCGGCGCCACCACCTTGCAGCGCTGACTATTTTTAGGAACTCGTTTCCCTGCAGGATGTGTTTACGCAGAATACCAAAACCCCCACCGAACAGCTGACTCTACACATGGGACCGTACCATCTCGGCACTTCGTGTGTGGGGGGGTGGGGGGGGGTGTGAACAAAGGCGCCAACTGCCGCTCCCCGGTGCATTTTCACGATTGTACCGCTTGACGGCGAGCTGTTCCGTAACAGTGCCGGCCGGCGCCATCCCGAATGTTGACCCCACGGTTCGCTTTGGGCCCCCTTCCTGCTCGGCGCGCTAGAGCGAGGCCTCTCGCGGCGTGCTTTCGCGGGGCTTGCACTTTCGCGTTGCTTGGCGCGACGTCCGGCGTTTTCGCGCTCGTCGGGGGGGGGGGGCGTGGGGGGGGGGGGAAGTGAATATTTGTGGCCGTTTTCGGTTCGGGAAGCTCCCAGCAGCACGTGGTAGAAAAACGTCGGACATCGCGCCGGGCAGCGCGGCAGCCCGAGAGCGCGCTTGGGAGAGCCGCACGACCGCGGCAATCGCACCAACCGCCCCCCCCCCCCCCCCCCCCGCTTACTGGCAGCACAGTGGATGATTCCAGTGTTGGCGAGGATTTTAACCGCGGGCCCACTCTTCCCGTTGATGTTGATTTTGTGCGACGGCCCGAGTAGAGGGGTGAGAGAGAAAATGAGCGAGCAAGCGGCTCGGCACAAGAGCGAGCGGCTGCTAATCGGAAGGTCGCGAGTTAAAATCCTCCTCGGCGTGGGGGGGGGGAGGGTGGCCAGTTGACTCGGCCCATCGACCCTCACCCCGGGGTCGACAAAAGGAATGCCTCGCTGCGGGGAAGTTGAAGGTGATTGGTCCTGTGGACGGACTCGCTCCCGCAAAAAGCAGCGTGCCATTTCCCACCGCCGATGGGGCTGTAAACAGGAGATGAGCACCAATGGCCTCGATGTTTCATTCGAGCAGCCGGAAGTCACCTTGGGCCTTTCTTATATTGAACCCGTACCGTGTGACCTGTGAACATTCTCGTCGAGTGGAATTGGCCAATCTTTCCGATTTGAAGCAGGACCCACCTGAGTGGGGGGGTTGGGGATCGGGCCTTGGGACTCGGTAGTGAGGCCCTGCTGGCTATAGGAGGCCGTCGAACAGTGAATCGATTCCACGACGACACGCATAATAACCGGCGCCTCTTGACGTATTCCAATGGCGTGCAATCAAACGCTCGTGATCCCCTCCGTGCCTTCATGAAGGGGTGCATGGAATTATCTCTTGAGGTCCCTTACAAGTGACCTGTGGTACACACAACACCAGGGGGGCCGGCACTCTCTCGCCCGCCCTGCCGTACGAGAGTAACGTTCGTCACATCGCCGTCAAACCAATGCCGTTAATCATCGGCTGGAATTTATCAAAATTAAGTACAGCGTCAAATTCCAAGCAATATTTGTTTTGCGCGGTCGTTTTAGCGATTGGACCAATACCATCCGCTTGGTGCAATTGAGAAGCCCGGTTCAATCACTGTGGTTGGGCGGCTGAGACCCTGACCTCTGAGCCGCCTGGCCTCCTCTGGATTAATTCCGTAAACGCTCGCTCGTGTTGACGGTCATCTATGTAGCGATCGATGCAAACTTGACTGCTGACCCTGAATACATCGTTGGACCAAGGCCAACTGGCACGTGATTTTGTGCTGGGAAACTCAATTCCGCTTGCGTGCACAGCGATATTGTGTGTGTGTGTACATCCAGTCGTGTGTGTGTGTGTGTTTATCACGGGGAGCGGTAGTGTAGCGGTTAACGCGCAGCGCCTCGAACCCGTTGACACGAGTTCGATTCCCGCTGACGGTTAACACCAGTGACAATTACCTGAACCGGTTCTGGGCCGCTCCTAGGTCGATTCGGCCCAGTGCTGATGTTTTTATGCACCACAGCAGGCGCTCATTTTCGGCAAACATGGGTGAGGCCCAGGACAGGTATAGGTAATCGTCACCGGTGTTGGCCATGAGCGGCACTCGAACTCCGATCGCCAGGTTCGTAGCGCGGCGTGCTAACCGCTGCGCCACCGCTCCCCGCGCAGACACATACACCAGGCGCACCACGGATTCTACTTGCGCGCGGCGCGCACACGTAGCCAATCGCTGCGCGCACAAGCAGGATACTCGTTTAAGGCCGAGTGGACCCGGGGGGGGGGATGGGATGCCCAGCACGTGGGCGACACGGGCGGCGAGCGTGACCGGAGCGCCGTGCGCGTGGCCGCGGACGCAGGTGAAGAGCTGCGGGCCCAGGCTGGTGCCCTTCTTCAAGACGACGTGCATCTACTTCGTGCTGTGGCTGCCCGCCAGCAGCGCCTCGTGGTTCAGCACGCTCATCAAGTGCCTGCCCATCCTGTGCCTGTGCGCCTTCGTGGCGGCGCACGGCATGAGCCTGCGGGCGGCGGTGCACTCGTACGCGCGGCGCATCCTCGCGGGGCTCGTCTTCTCGGCGCTGGGGGACGCCTGCCTCGTGTGGGAGGCCTTCGGCTACTTTGAGCCGGGTGAGTGGCGGGGCGCCGGTGGGCTTGCGGGTAGGTGCGTGGGGGTGGGGCGAGTGGGAGAGGGGGGTGGGGCGAGTGGGAGAGGGGGGTGGGGCGAGTGGGAGAGGGGGGTGGGGCGAGTGGGAGAGGGGGGTGGGGCGAGTGGGAGAGGGGGGTGGGGCGAGTGGGAGAGGGGGGTGGGGCGAGTGGGAGAGGGGGGTGGGGCGAGTGGGAGAGGGGGGTGGGGCGAGTGGGAGAGGGGGTGAGTGAGTGAGTGGGAGAGGGGGGTGAGTGAGTGAGTGGGAGAGGGGGGTGAGTGAGTGGGTGAGGAGGTGAGTGGGAGAGGGGGTGAGTGAGTGAGTGAGTGGGAGGGGAGGTGAGTGAGTGGGTGAATGAGTGAGTGGGAGGGGAGGTGAGTGAGGGGGTGAGTGAGTGAGTGAGTGGGAGAGGGGGTGAGTGAGGGGGTGAGTGAGTGGGGGAGGGGGTGGGTGAGTGGGAGAGGGGGGTGGGTGAGTGAGAGAGGGGGTGAGTGAGTGAGTGGGAGAGGGGGGTGGGTGAGTGGGAGAGGGGGTGAGTGAGTGGGAGAGGGGGTGAGTGAGTGAGTGGGAGGGGAGGTGAGTGAGTGGGTGAATGAGTGAGTGGGAGGGGAGGTGGGTGAGGGGGTGAGTGAGTGGGTGAGTGAGTGAGTATGAAAGGGGGTGAGTGAGGGGGTGAGTGAGTGGGGGAGGGAGTGAATGAGTGAGTGGAAGAGGGGGTGAGTGAGTGAGTGGGAGAGTGAGTGAGTGAGTGGGAGAGTGAGTGAGTGAGTGGGAGAGGGGGTGAGTGAGTGAGTGAGTGGGAGAGGGGGTGAGTGAGTGGGTGAGTGGGAGAGGGGGTGAGTGAGGGGGTGAGGGTGAGACTGGCAGGGTGAATGGGTGAGGGTGTGAGAGTGAAAGCGTGATAGGGTGAGAAAAGGGGTAAGGAGAGACCTCGTCATTAATGTGTGTGTGTATATATACCTGTGTATATATTTATAAATAGACACCGTCCTCGTGTGTTCTTGTATGCATTCAAGGGCGCATTATAAATAAGCCGAAGGTTAAAACATTCACTGCCAGCGTAAACTTTATGGAAGTCAGGCTGACACAAAATCAACAGTTTTCCTTGAGCGCCGTTCCATATTTCCTTACTTTACGAGCAACAATCCTGCTGTGGATCGCCCTGCCGCGTGTGTACACAGTCGTAACATTTGCACAGCGCGGAAAGTTTAAATCCACTTTATGTAACTCAATAAATAAGAAGACTGGTGCATCCCTCCCACGTCTCTGCACCTCCAAGTGAAAAATAAGACTCGTATTTTTATTTTTTACATTCGGCAAGGACCGGTTTCGACATGCAGTGTCTCATCAGCTGCGGAGTCAGGCTCGCTTGAATCAACGCTGGTGAACTGGCAAATGCCCATATTCAAAGACCCTCTCTGTTAGGACCGGGGTTACAGGCCACCCACGCAAAGGGGCAGTGAACGTTCCGTGCGTCTCGGCACGTCTAATTTCAGCCGTTACCGACTCGACCACAGGTGACACTCAACCGGGTAAGTAAAGAGTGTCCCACGTATACACACGTGAAATATTGCTGCTTTTGGCTCAACGCAAGCTAAATGGTGCAAAAGCAAGCAAAAAAAATACCGCCAACGCGGCCGATTGGCGAACACGGAGCCAACGCGAGCGCTTTGGAACGAAAGTCCCGCAACACACGAGGAACGGTTAGAAATCTTGGCCAGGGGAGGCCGCGTGGCTCGGAGGTCAGAGACGCGCTGAGCCGGAACTGCCGGGAGCCTGGGTTCCACTCGGGGTCTCAGCCGCTGCCTGTGATTTGAACCGGCTTGTCAGGCGCGGCGAGTTGATGGCCTCGGCCCAGTCTGCGGAGACTTTCACGGAGACCGGCAGACTCGCACGGAGACCCGTGGACTCGTGTAGACTTGAGGTACGATTGGACCGGGTTCATCAAGCGCGGCGAGTTGATGGCCTCGGCCCCAGTCGCCAGTGACTTGCACGGAGACCAGCAGGCCTCCGCTCCACACAGCCAGCCAGTTTAAATGGCTTGCGCTGTTTGCTTCTGGCCTCCTTGATGTTTCGGACCCTTTCGGGGGGGCCCTGTCCTCGGCAAGTGCGTTGGGTTAAACCCCCCACCCCCCTTTCGTCTCCCCCCCCGCCCCCCCCCCCCCCGCCAGGCATGCTGATGTTCGGCACGGCGCACGCCTTCTACCTGGCTGCGTTCGGCATCCAACCGCTCCGCGCTCGCCTGGGCCTGGTGCTGGGCGCGAGCGGCGCGGCCATCTACGGCCTCATGTTCCCCTGCCTCCCGCCGGGGCCCATGCCGGCGCTGCTGGCGGCGTACTTCTCCCTCATCGTCGCCATGATGTGGCGCGCCGCGGCCCGCGTGGGCCGCCCCTGGACGTGGAACCGGATGTGCGCGTGCGTGGGCGCGGCGCTCTTCGTGGCCTCCGACCTGGCGCTGGCCGTCGACAAGTTCTGCACGCGGCTGGCGGCGGCGCCCGCCTTCGTCATGAGCACCTACTACCTGGCGCAGATGTGCATCGCGCTCTCCGTCGTAGACTGCCGCGACGACGACGCCGCCGCCGCCGCCGCCGCGGTCGCCGCGGACAAACGGGGCGGCGCCGTCGAGGGCGGCGCCGTCGAGGGCGGCGCCGACTCCGCGCCGCCGTCGCCGTGCCGACGCGTCGGCGAAGACGGCAGCGGCGCCCGCGGTGGAGTGCACCAGCGCGCCGCGCTGTCGGCTCGATAGTTCCCTTGGCGAGTTGGCGATGGCTGTGTGGGGGGTGGGGGGGTTGATGGAGAGCTAGCTAGTTAACTGGCTGGTTTATTGAAGAGCTAGCTAGTTAACTGGCTGGTTTATTGAAGAGCTAGCTAGTTAACGGGCTGGTTTATTGAAGAGCTAGCTAGTTAACTGGCTGGTTTATTGAAGAGCTAGCTAGTTAACTGGCTGGTTTATTGAAGAGCTAGCTAGTTAACGGGCTGGTTTATTGGAGAGCTAGCTAGTTAACTGGCTGGTTTATTGAAGAGCTAGCTTGTTAACTGGCTGGTTTATTGAAGAGCTAGCTTGTTAACTGGCTGGTTTATTGGAGAGCTAGCTAGTTAACTGGCTGGTTTATTGAAGAGCTAGCTAGTTAACTGGCTGGTTTATTGAAGAGCTAGCTAGTTAACTGGCTGGTTTATTGGAGAGCTAGCTAGTTAACTGGCTGGTTTATTGGAGAGCTAGCTAGTTAACTGGCTGGTTTATTGGAGAGCTAGCTAGTTAACGGGCTGGTGTATTGAAGAGCTAGCTAGTTAACTGGCTGGTTTATTGAAGAGCTAGCTAGTTAATTGGCTGGTTTATTGAAGAGCTAGCTAGTTAACGGGCTGGTTTATTGGAGAGCTAGCTAGTTAACTGGCTGGTTTATTGAAGAGCTAGCTAGTTAACTGGCTGGTTTATTGAAGAGCTAGCTTGTTAACTGGCTGGTTTATTGAAGAGCTAGCTTGTTAACTGGTTGGTTTATTGAAGAGCTAGCTAGTTAACTGGCTGGTTTATTGAAGAGCTAGCTAGTTAACGGGCTGGTTTATTGGAGAGCTAGCTAGTTACCTGACTGGTTTATTGAAGAGCTAGCTAGTTAACTGGCTGGTTTATTGAAGAGCTAGCTAGTTAACTGGCTGGTTTATTGAAGAGCTAGCTAGTTAACTCGCTGGTTTATTGAAGAGCTAGCTAGTTAGCTGGCTGGTTTATTGAAGAGCTAGCTAGTTAACTGGCTGGTGTTTTGAAGAGCTAGCTAGTTAACTGGCTGGTGTATTGAATAGCTAGCTAGTTAGCTGGCTGGTTTATTGAAGAGCTAGCTAGTTAACTGGCTGGTGTTTTGAAGAGCTAGCTAGTTAACTGGCTGGTGTATTGAATAGCTAGCTAGTTAACTGTCTGGTTTATTGAAGAGCTAGCTAGTTAACTGGCTGGTTTATTGGAGAGCTAGCTAGTTAACGGGCTGGTGTATTGAAGAGCTAGCTAGTTAACTGGCTGGTTTATTGAAGAGCTAGCTAGTTAACTGGCTGGTTTATTGAAGAGTTAGCTAGTTAACTGGCTGGTTTATTGGAGAGCTAGCTAGTTAACTGGCTGGTTTATTTGAGAGCTAGTTAACGGGCTGGTTTATTGGAGAGCTAGCTAGTTAACTGGCTGGTTTATTGGAGAGCTAGCTAGTTAACTGGCTGGTTTATTTGAGAGCTAGTTAATTGGCTGGTTTATTGAAGAGCTAGCTAGTTAATTGGCTGGTGTATTGAATAGCTAGCTAGTGAACTGGCTGGTTCACTGGATAGCTGGCTAGTTCGCTGGCTGTTTAGTCGACTGGCCACCCGGCGGGCTGTGGTTGGGCGAGCGGTGGCCCCCCTGAGGCCGAAGTCTCTCCCCTGTCTCTCCCCTGTCTCTCCTCGCGTCTTCCCCTGCCGTGGCCTCCGTGCGCGGTGCCCCCGCGTGGCGTCGAGCGCGGGCGTCACCTGACCCCGGCGCCACCTGACCCCGGCTTCACCTGACCCCGGCGCCACCTGACCCCGGCGCCACCTGACCCCGGCGACACCTGACCCCGGCGTCACCTGACCCCGGCGTCACCTGACCCCGGCGCCACCTGACCCCGGCGCCACCTGACCCCGGCGTCACCTGACCCCGGCGTCACCTGACCCCGGCGCCACCTGACCCCGGCGCCACCTGACCCCGGCGCCACCTGACCCCGGCGCCACCTGACCCCGGCGCCACCTGACCCCGGCGCCACCTGACCCCGGCGCCACCTGACCCCGGCGTCACCTGACCCCGGCGTCACCTGACCCCGGCGTCACCTGACCCCGGCGCCACCTGACCCCGGCGCCACCTGACCCCGGCGCCACCTGACCCCGGCGCCACCTGACCCCCGGCGCCGCCATACGGGTGTCTGTGAAAGCAGACGCCTCGAAAAAAACGAGAACCTTGGGACACACGTCTCACCCAATCATAGCCTCCTCCTGTTCTCGATGATACCCACAACGCTTTCCTGCCAAGTTCCTGTTCCCAACTTGCGAGTCGCTCCCCTATCGCACCGTGACAATTCCTGGCGTCCTCCGCTCGCACCCGTGCGCCGACCCGAGTGCAGACGTCTCTCCCGACTTTCGCTTTTGTTAACGCGGAGACGAACTAAAACGATTGCCGTATTAACAAACATTATTAATTCAACTAATTGTTTGGCGCTGCTGCGTTGCCAGTGGTGCACAAATGCACATATATGTAAACGAAAAAATTACTGGACGCATTCGTCAATTAACGCTGCCTTAAAATTAAAAGGTACATTATAGGTCGTATACATTTTTTTCTTTTAAGGCAGTGTTAAAAATATGAAAAAAACAATTAGGTGCGTTTTTTGGCATTGGCGCCGTTATTTTCATGGCGCCAAGCCATCTTCGTTCCGTGGAGGAACTTTCTGCTGTGTTTTGCAACGTCCTGCAGTCGTTTCACAGCAGGGGGGGGGGGGGGGGGTGGTGGCGTGATGATGCTGCTGCCACTTCTGCTGCATCCTGACCCCTATCGAGCAGTTTTCCGTGTCGCGTTCCGACCTTGGCAAATGCGGGCCGTGACGCCGGCACCCCGCGTGGATCCACCGTGAAGCGGACGGCGGCTGGGTACCTGACGGTTAATGCGCTCGCGGTGCCAATGCTAGGCCAACCGCAGCCTGCCGGGTAGCCAGTCAGCAAGTCGACTAAGCGTCCAGCTAACTAGCCAGCTAACTAGCCAGCTCGCTAGCCAGCTAACTAGCCAGCTAGCTAGCCGGCTAACTAGCTAGCTCGTTAGCCAGCTAGCTAGCCGGCTAACTAGCTAGCTCGTTAGCCAGCTAGCTAGCCAGCTCGTTAGCCAGCTAGCTAACCAGCTCGCTAGCCAGCTAGCTAGCCGGCCAACTAGCCAGCTCGCTAGCCAGCTCGCTAGCCAGCTAGCTAGCCGGCCAACTAACCAGCTCGCTAGCCAGCTATCTCGCCGTAACCAGGTCTTCGGCCTGCCGGATTCGGAACCGCAAACTTCTTGCAAGGAGTCAGCTGAACCCCTCCCCCCCCCCCCAAGCCTCTAAAACTGACCCCCAAATCTGGGTGCTGCACATCATTGCCCCATTGCTTTTGAGAGAGTGCGGTGGGCCCTCTTGCCTCGGTCGTGCGCCTACACCGTTGGGTTCAACCCCAGAAGGGGTGGGGGGGGGGCTATCTATCGAAAGAGACCAGAGGGATATTTACAAAGGTCTAAATGGATACGTGAACGCGAGGACAAAGGGAATTTAGCAGTTAGATGGTGCCACTGTCTAGAACGTGACGTAGGCAATGCACATGCAATGCAGTGGGAGGTGGTGGGGGGGACAGGCCTTTTGAAAATGTTTAATTTGCATATTTCAACGGGCTGCAACACTTTCGGCACCACTCCCATGTCAGATAATTATCACATGCTGATGTTTCTGCAACTGCTCTCTGCAACCGGTTGCAGATTGCGAGCAGTTGAGGCGAGGGAGTCGACGCGCGAGCGTCGGATATGCCCGGTGGCAATTTGTACCAGCAGTGCGCACACTTCACCACCATGTGACAAGGGGGTCCCATGGTGCACCATGTGACACTTTCACAAGCGTGTGATTGGTCGTTACAAACTTGATGTGGCTGGGTGGGGTTAGGGGTGGAGCTTACCAGAGACGGGGGGCGGGGCTCTGCTGGTAAGGGGCGTGGCCAGACGGCTGTAGTCACACCCACAACCGCACCCTTACTGCGCAACCACTCGCTCAGGCGATGTTGGTTTTGAGGGCAATATGGATGCTGGGGACCAGGATTTAATGTCATTAGTCGTGTTTTTTTTGTATTACTGCTACACAAAATGTTCGCCCTAGTTCTGTATTATGACGACGTAATTTACTGCCTTTTTTTTTACTTTCGATGTATAATGTGGATTTTATTTTTCCAGTTTGTGTTTTGGCACCAATGCACCGCCGTCCAACGGACACGTGTCTAATTTACAGGGTGTACCATAAGTATGGAATCGTAGGAAAAATAATACAAAAGGCAATAATGCTTTTATTCGCAGAACGTGCTCAAATGTGTCCGGCATTGTTCCTGATACACAACTCCGGACGAGATACCCGTTAAGCAAGCGCAGGGTAAATGTTATCGGGGGTAACGGTGTCAATAACGCGCGTCAATAACGCTCTGCCGAAAATGTTCAGCGCTCTTTGGGAGTTTTCATCGGCGTTGACTCAGCGCCTTCAAGTGAACACCCCCAGAGATAAAACAAAAAAAGCCAGCGGCGTGAGATCGGGGCTGTGTCAGAATGGGTGGATCTTGAAGGTCTCATGGCGTGGTTCATCTTGCGTGGATCCCGTTTCCCTAAACTTTGCAACAAGTTTGCTAACAGAGCTCTGTTTTATTGGCCCGCGGTCTGGATGCAGTGAGTTCAATTCAACAGCGACCTCCCTCTTTCTCCGATTTCCGATAGAATTATATGGAGTCTTTTTTTTCCTTACTCAAGAGACGTCTTGGGCCTGCAGAAACAGAAAAATATTAACGAGTTATTTTTCCCTATGATTCCAGACTTATGGGACATCCTGTACATTACCGTATTCTCCGCATTGTAAGATGCGACTTGAAAGTGAGACCCACCTCAAACTTCGGGGGTCCTTACGAAAAAAAAAACATTTAAGTAAGACAAAATGTTACAAAATATAGTGGACGCTGGGGAAAAAAAAAGTCTCTTAATCCGGATAATACGGTCATGGTGGAAGA